TAAACGACAACCCTACCGATTGAGCTATAGCGAACGATGCATGAAGGCGACGCAAAAACGGTATTTAACGTCGATTTGAACGGGTCGCTAAGATATTTTCAATCTACCTGGATTTGTCCGTGTATTTAGTTTACTTTACTATATTTTTTAACTATATTTTATCGTTTTACTTTGTTTTATTTCCTTGTTGTCTCTATTTTTTCTTCACTCTATTTTATTTTTTCAAGCACTTCATTTTTTTTCCTTTAATTATTTACTTCTCATTCCTTTACTTTGTTTTATATTTACTGTGATTTCTTTTAATACTTCATCATAATTTTTGGACTTCACTTTACTCTTAAAATTCATTCTATTCTTTAACATCATTTAGTTGTTTCCCGTATTTTATTTTTTTCTTCATCTCCTTGCTCCCTCTAATTATTTACTTCAATTTAGTCTTTGACTTCATTTTATCATATATTTGATTTACTTTATTTTATTTCTTTTCTATTGTCTCTGTTATACCATAATTTCGACTATTCTATTATTTCCACTATTCTATTATTTTTTCTATTTTTTCTCTTTAAATTTTTCATTTTCATTCTGAGAGTGGTAGGCTTAAAGGGGAGAAGAGACAGTAGCGCTAGTGCGAGGGAGAGAAGGTGCGCGTGACTCCGGGCCGTACTGCAGCTCCGGTGCGGAGTGCTTTGACTACACATGCAGCTCGTCTCAGCACCTACGCGCTGAACCGCACTCCCGTGTTCATTCTCACTCCGGATTTTCCGTCGGACGGAATCAACGATTTTTAACAGTGCAGTTTAGAGACAACGTATGTACCATTAGTACTCCCATAAACATAAGTGTTTTTTACGGATTTGCTATAAATTGTCGTTCCAAATTTTAAACTGATGTCTAATTATTGAGAGCAACGTTGCCTCGTCAAAATTTACACTCATTAACTTAATACAACCCAATTGAGTTGAGCTGGAAGCATTAGCGTAAAAAAGGTGGATGCGTCTATGAAAGCACCGCACCTATTTGTATATAGAAATAACATTGATCCTCAATGAGCAAAAAATCATAACATAGAGGAAATTCAGGTGGGGTGGGCCAAAAAACGGCTCTTAACTCCTTTTTAAAATATTTGCAGAAAAGTTATTGAACGCAGATAAACACTTTCGACCAAATCGACAATGGTTCAGTTGTGCTAGTCACAGATGGAAGTTTCTAATTTAAAATTAAGCATTTTATCAAGATCGGATTTGTAATGTTCAGTCAACAATCCCCGAATCATGCGAAATACCCATCCAGGAAATCGACCCATCGGTTCAATCAGTGGCCTTAGCGNACCCCATGACTGGAAAATTTTCACAGTGAAACGTCATTTTCCGCGATTTTCAGGAATTTTGAACTTATGACCCGCCCCCCTTTCTTTGAGGAATTGTTCACTCCAGACCAGCTTTGAAACATTCTAACTTCCTGGTCGCAAAAAATTCTAATTTCCTGGGTTCTGATTTTAAGATTACCGGTTGTGCAAAAGAAAATCCTTGTTGCGTTAGGAGAGAGAGATAAATTATCCACGCCAAGTACAATTTCATAATGATGAGGAAACTTCAGTCGTCAGGATGAACATTTTGGACGTATTTCTGTCAAACGGAACTAAGCGCCATAGGGAGAGGAAGGTAGAGGGGGGCTCGGATTGGCGGCGGAACCGGGCGTCGGGCTCATTCTGTCTTATGCTCGCAATGCTTTTCCATGGCGCTTAGTTCCGTTTGACAGAACGCGCTATCCGGCATTCTAAATTCCTCAACAGGAAATCGAATTGGCGCTTAGTTCCGTTTGACAGAAATACGTCCATTTAATATGCCGTATCAATCGCTTATTTGATTCAACGGATGTACTGAAAATACTTACATGCGGCAGAGTACTGCCATTTCTGTCCCGCTCAATGATTGGTTCAACAGTTTAAGCCTTATCATGGAGCTCTTGTGACCCATTGTAAACAAACCTAATCAAAAGGAGCTCGTAATACAAAGAGAGCGATAATCACACTAGAAGTGTAATTTTCGGACAAATATCCATTAAAGTTTATCCATATCCAATTCAGAAGTAGCAATTAAGGTGATTCGATGGACGCTATATTTTGTGTCTGAGCAACATGCGATACATCGCATCGATTAGTTCCATTTCCTCAGCTTGTCGTCATGTTTCTCCAATTTTGAGATCGCAAATTCTGTTGTCAAGAGACTGTTCACTTAATTTTGACAAACAAATTCAATTAATTAAAGGCGTGGTTATTTTAGAGAAAAAACATCGCATTCGATATACTGATATCGAAACTGCACTCGAATGCGATGTTTTCTCTCTAAAAAAACCACGCCTGTATTACGTTGAATTTGTTTGATAAAATTGGTGAGTGAATTCTTTAGTCTTCTGACACCAGAAACGTGATCTCAAAATTCGAGAAAAATGACGAGTAGCTGAAAAAATTGAACCAATCAATGCGATATATCGCATGTCGTTTAGACACAAAATATGGCGTCCATCGAATCACCTTACAAGTCTAGAATTCCGCCTCTACCTTACATTTGGTTACATCGCTGTTTGTTTGGAGGGGCTACCGTGTAAGACTAAAACTCGCCGACCAATCAGAGAGCGACACACTTTTTCAATGGTGAAAGGATTGTGATGACAATCAACTCCCATAGCGACGGTGAAATTACTAGATCACCTATTTCGGTTTGCGGCGTTGCAGTTACTTCCACTTCTCATACTGAATTTTTAAAATTGGAAACTTCTCAATGATGACTCTTAAAAACCTCCGTCAGTTTTCTTCTCAGTGCGAAGAAAATTCAGTGCAAACAAGAAATGATTTTGACTTGTTTTCCTTCAAAAAAATAAAATGAGAGCGGTGATTTTTAGACACCGCAAACGAGATACGCGGTCTGGTAGTTTCACCGTCGATATGCAGGCACTGGTACTTGGAAGTGATTCCTTCAGCCGAAGGAAGACTTTTCTCTGTGCTAATCGACCTAATGGAGATGTTGCATGTGTGAGGAATTTGCGATTTGACTGTTGATTCTTTTGTAAAAGTTGGCGAGAAACACGATAGTGCCACTAGTTTTCTCTGAAATCAACTCCCAAGCTCAAAAAAAGCTCTTAAGTTGAGGCCAAAATGGAGGAGATATCCCACGCTATCCTGAGAGTCCACCAAGTCCACCTCTACATAAAAAAAAAACTCTCCATGCAAAGATAGGGAGCAAATACATTGACAGGGCTGCAACTGTATTTGGGGACTATAAAACTGAAATCACGGCAACCCTGTCAATGTATTTGCTCCCTATCTTTGCATGGAGAGTTTCTCTTGATGTAGAGGTGGACTCTCAGTATGGCGTGGGATATCCCCTCCATTTTGGCCTCAACTTGAGAGCTTTTATTGAGCTTCGGAGTGGATTTCAGAGGAAACCAGTGGCACCATCGTGTTTCTCGCCAACTTTTACGTAAGAATCAACAGTCAAATCGCAAATTCCTCACACATGCAACATCTCCATTTCTAATTTCAGTGATGAGTGACGAACATTCGACGATACCTCCTTACCGATCAAATCGTCGCCCTCCTGACACAGAAGCGTGACTACACTTCACGATGAACCTTGGCGTCCATTTAATTCAATGTTTCCCCGGGCTCATCGCAATGTGTACTTACACCCCTTTGTCAGCCAAGCGACGAAATCATGTAAATCATCGGCTCGAACTCATTGTTGTATTTCAATTGATTACAGATAATCGTGGCGGCTCATGATGCTAACAATAATCCTTGCACCGGTTTGGGCCAAATCCAACAGCCAAACACATACAATTGGAACAGCGCAGATGCATACTGCAGAGGGGTCTTAAGACGCGCTCAGAATTATAACTACATTACCTCAGCACAATGTAGAGCGGAATGCCGCCAATACGAAACATACGGAACTTACGGTTACCGGAGCTATGCCTACACATGTGTAGGGATACAGCCAAAGCCAAAAACAGGAATTCTGGCATTCATCAGTTGTTTTAAAAAAGAGAAAGAAGTCGTATTTTATCTTCGGAATATAATACAAGGTAAAAAATACCATTAAAGATAACTTTACAGGGTGAATGTATGGTATCCTCTCTCCAAAGGTGAAAGGAGATAAGTGCGGCTCTCCCAAAGAGCGGGAGGGATATTTTTTTCCTGCAAAATTTGGAATTATATTTGTTTTTAGTCGGATGAACCTAACAATTTTTGCTATTTTCTGAACAAGGGCTCACTTAATATGACGTCAATGATCAAAATACGAAAGCACGTAACTCTATTGCGCTGTTCCAAACTTTCCGTTCCTCTTTCATTTTCTTGAAGATGTAAAAATTATATAGAATATTCTGCTAGCCGAGAGGAAAAATCAAAGAAAGATCCAAGAAATTACGTCGACTAGTTTTCGAAATAAAAAAAAAGTATGACAGGAAGTCTGCAACGTTCAAGAGGAAGATACGTGTTTTTGAACTTTGGCCCTCGATACCTAAATATTATTTGGACGTCACTAAAAGCAGCCAGTATCCGAGAATCTGTCCATAGTGGATATTTTGCAAAAACCTCTAAGCGTCCAGCCCACATACAAACTAGAGGCTTCAAAGAGACTCATCGATTGCCCCGACTTAAACCGCTGGCCAATGAGAGGGCCAGGAAAGGCATCGATGAGTCTCTTTGAAGCCTCTAGTTTGTATGTGGGCTGGACGCTATACCCACGTCGTTCAGCACAATTCGTCATCCTCCGGCCAAAGTATCACAAGTGCCAAGCAACACTTCAAACTTTCCACCGCCATTTTATTTTTTTACAGAGAAATTTGTTCAACGAAGCTGTCCAAAAATCTCACTGAATTTTCTTTGTGCTGTCGATAAAAGTCAGTGAAATTTTCAAACAGATTCACCCAACAATTTCTCTGCAAAAAACAATAAAATAAAATGAAACAAAATGGCGACGGAAATTTTGGAACAAAGCATGGCGCTTGTGATACTTTGGCCGCAAGGTGACGATTTGGGGGAAACTTCCTCACTGGGAAAAAAAACACATTGGATCAAGAGTCCAGACTCTTGAAAACATTGACAAGAAAAAATACTCTTGATTCAATCGGATTTTTGCTTGAATCAAAACAAAATCCGCTTAAATTAAGAGGCTTGGTTCTTGATTTAAGCTAGATTATAATTGAATCAAGAGTACTTTTTCTTGTCGATGTTTTTAAGAGTCTGGACTCTAGATCCAATGTGTTTTTTTCCAGGGCTGTAATGAAAGAATTTACCAATTTTTATCACCATACAATCATATAATGTAGAATAATCTTGCTTATCTCTCTGTTTCTTTACTTGCTTTCATAATATTTTGGGTTTAATTCTTTATGTACTATCTTACTCTGCTCATCTTGTATTTTCTATATGATTGAGAAGTTTAGAGATAGATCATTTACACATCTCGTTCCCATGGGGACTTAATTAGTTCTAATTTCTTTTATAGTTTTGACTAAAACTCTTGGAAGATCAACCTATGAATTTTTCTAGACGTCTCAAATGTGTAAATATCAGCGTGGAGGATATATCCACGACCAATATCTAAATTGTCTCCTGTATGACCATTATCTAACCATATTTCTTACTTTTATGTCCATGTGAAAGATCAGAGAGTATGGAATACTCAAGACCCTCCAAGCACACAAGCCCCGGCCTATCAGCCCGCACCACCCCTAGGTTACCCGACTGGCAGTTCTGCTTATTCAGGGTCCTCCCCCACACCAAAGGGATACTCAACAAGGGACGGCACAACAAGGGACGGCACAACAGGGGACGGCGCAACAGGGGACGGCACAAGAGCTCTGTCATACGGGACGAATTCTGGAAGGAGGCTTCCGAAAATTAGACTGGATTCTCCGGTCACAAGTCCTGTGCGAAGTCCTAAAAATCGTGAAAATGGCAATGGTGGAAGTGCCATACCGGCCGATTACCCATATGCCGAAATAACAGCCAGCGCTGCAGCTTTCGGCGCTAAGGGAAAACGAGATTACATGGAGGACAGATTTGTTATCGACGAGACTCTGAAAAAACAATTTGGTGTTTCAATTTACGCGGTTTTTGATGGACACGGTGGAGATGTAAGTGTATGATACATACTATATTTAAGTAGTTTCAAATAGAGTCCCTTTATACCCAGAGTTAAGACAACTCGATTATCAGCTGACTGGCAGCCGGCCTTGGCTGGCCATGGAGGCCGAAACGAGTGCACCCAAACGAACGATATTGAGGGATAAGGATCAGGAATCCTGCGATGTCTGTCACGCAAAAACAACAACATCAACAAATTGATCAGTTAAAAAGAAAATGAGATTGGTTTGTGAATAATTTCTTAATCTATTTTCATTTTGGACCGATGGAAATAACAATTTACTCTTGAAAAACCACAATTAGGTAATATTTTCATTATTCTTGTTCACATTCGAGGTACCGCCATCTTGGTGCACTCGTTTCGGCCTCCATGAGCGAGAACCAATCAGAATTGGATTTTTTTTTTAGGCCACTTTCAGCCCAACCCTGGCCCAACCAAAAGTGAGTTGTCTTAACTCTGGGTATAAAGGGACTCTAGTTTCAAACATCAGGTGCACGAAAACGAGAATTCATAATGAATGCACCGTTGCCAGATGCAAAAAAAAACAAACAAACAAATGCACGGGTCCATTTTCCTCAGATTCCCTTTACTTACCAATTGTATATCTCTGCCGTGCGAAGAGAAAACGCCGCACGAGCCTTCAGACGTTGCCAAATTTCAATTTATAAAACACACATCTCCCGGTAAACTTATGAATATTTTTCGTCCAATTTTTCAGATAATTTTATTAGCAGTTTCACCTAATGTTCCTGAAAATTTCAAGGAAAAATATTCATAACATTCCTCAAAAATTAGCATTTCATCGATGAAAAGACAACTCTCGAGCAGTGGCGTGGTGTGAATTGCGATGTATCGATTGTTCTGCCATTTAAACCTATGGTAAAGAATCGATTATTAAGGTGTTCGCTGCGAACACCCTGTTTATCGATCCTTTTCCATAGGTTTAAATGGCATAACAATCGATACATTGCAAAGCACGCCACGCTACTGCTCTCGAGTGTTCATACGGCGTTCTTCCTCGGTGCCACGCCACGGATGTAAATCATATCGATGGCTAAGCAATAATATCGCCTACCTGCGGATCGCAGATTTCGCGGGATTAAGACAGAACCTCGCCATTTTTGTAATTTTGCAATTATTTTATACACTACAGCGTCGACACAGCGCTTTCATGTGGACGTTAGAAAAATTAAAATCATCAGATTGCGTATTTTATAATAATAAAGAATAGAGTCCCTTTATACCCAGAGTTAAGACATCCCAATTTCCAACTGGCCTGGGCTGGCCATGGTATCACAAAAGTGTGCACTGTGCAGTGTGCATCCAAACGAACGGTATCGAATTATAAGGAATATTGCGATGTCTGTCATCCAAAAACAACATGTATTTTTATTTTGGTGCGCTCAGAATGACAATCCAGTCTTGATAAATCAGAATCAGGTTATGTTTCCATCATTATTGTTCACATTCGATCCACCTTCATCTTGGTGCAAATAGAGTACCTGAATACGGGAGAGTATTACCATCTCAATCCTTTGACTATAGAGAAGATGTGCCGCTCACAGGGCGTGGCTAGGAAATTTCTCTGGGGGGGGGGGCATGGGACCACCTCTCGTGGTGAAGAAAGCGGGGGGTGAGGAATGGAGGATCCCGTTTTTCTNGGGGCAGGGCCCCCCAGGACCCCCCTAGCTACGCCCATGGCCGCTCACTAATTCGTCGACTGTCATGGAGCCCCAAAGTTGGCCCAATGTAAACAAACCCCAGCCCCTCCGCTCCTAGTTTGGTCCAATGTAAACAAACAAGATGGCGACGAAGTTCTAGACGTGATTTTGGATGTGATAGACACTTTTTTTCCAACCAACTTCTGAATTGAGTTCGGATCGAACTATGATGGAAATTTTTCCCGAAAATTAAGCTTCGAGTGCGATCATCATTCATTTCTCCGTTTATTCACATTGCGCCAACTTTGGAGCTCCATGACAGCCTAAAACTGATGAACCAATCAGAGAGTGGCGCAAAGATGGCAACACTCTTCCGTATATAGGTACTCTGGGTGCACACTTATTTTGCGACACCATGAGTGAGATCCAATCAGAATTGGATTTTTTTAAGGCCACTTTATAAGCCTAACCAAGTCCAACCAGAATTGAGATGTCTTATCTCTGAGTATGAAGGGACTCTACCACAGAATGCAGAGGCTGACTCATTTTCGACAAAATTATTATTTATGTGGTATTCCTCTTTCACCCTTGATTCAGGACCTTTCTGACGAAAATCGCTGTGTAATGAATGAACTGGTATCCCAGGCAATCATGACCGCAATTTTGTCGTGGCGATATTTTACTCTGCCTAGAAACAGCAGAGTGCGCTCCGCCTATCATTACTTTTAAAATCTCGTTCAGTTGGTTTGGAGGAACATAAATTTGCGAGAATAACAACAATAGTTGAAATATCAACGCATGGAAAATCGGGATGAACACGGGACTCGGCTGTCCGGTCCCTGTGACGTCGTGTACGCGAGTCAACAAGCCTGTCAATTTTCTGTGACCATTCAAAGGCACTGCACTGATCCTTAGCAAGGCAGTATTTTAATGCCGCGAAGTTTGAACCTGGAAATTTTGATCGTATAATGTTTGACTTATTATTGTTCACTTTGACGCGAAACTAGAGGGAATACCCGCACTGGTATCTTCGTAGAGGGTAAAAGTTACTCTCGGAATTCCCCGCTCAGATGTGCTTGGTGATCTCGGACTGCATTTTGCAATTAGGAACTACTATTCGTAGCTTATCCATGAAATCAGCTATCTGCATAGAGAAGCTGATGACACATACTTTGTTTCCCAAATGAGCCAAAAATATAGTTCCTTATTCCAGAATGGAGTATATTTGACGACCAAAGAATCTAGCGATATGCGCACGATCGAATTGAATTCAGTCAGGTTGGTTGGTTGGTAAATATATTTATTTGTGGTAGTAGTGGTAATAATGGTAATAGTGGTGGAAGGAGTAGCAGTAAATAAGATTTATTGGGCTTCGAAGCATCCAATGGCTACAAGGTACCTTAAACTCGATAAATAAATTAGTAGATATCGATGGTTAAATTTCCTAACCAAGTATCGCGGTTTGCGACGTTGTAGACTTCCCGGCATATTTAATCCTTTAAATGGGGAACCACTGAACGTCAATTCCTTCGTGAGTTTTCCACTGTGTGCGAGGAAAATCCTGAGGAGTAAAATCCTTAAGGAGTAACCAATGTGATTTGCCCCAGAGGCGAAGCGCGCATGATCGATTATCGATATTTTCCCATTTGAAGCATCGGTAAATAATGGATTATCAAGGTATTCGCTGCGAACCCCTTGTTTATCTATCCTTTCCCTCAGGTTTGAATGGCAGATCAATCGATACATCGCAAAGCATGCCACGCCTTTGATTTGCTCTATATTTTAAAGAAATAAAGCAGGAGCGGAGATTTCTAAAAATTGGAAACGAGATACATGGTTTGGGAGTTCCAGCGCCGAGGTGAGGTAATTCATCTGAGCTATTGGCTTTGAGAGTGAGTTTAAATATACAATATTGAGGTTTCAACAAAAAGGGTACATTCATTTTGGGGTATCAATATTCGCATCAGCAGATCATTAAAATGGACTGAGTTCATCAGAAACGAACCAACCCACGTTCTCGAAAAAATTGAGATAAGAACGTTTTTGAGTTTCACTAGACGTACATTTTCTCCTGTCAAAAACTGGCAGTCTAAAGTTAAACATTTTTTCGGGAAAAAAGGGGTTAAAGTTTATTTTTTACATTGAGCCTTATGCAGGAATAGAACTTGAAACATCTTTCTCTCAGTATCAACTCAATGTGGGTTGGTTCCTTCTGATGAACTCGATCGAAATGTACCAATGAATAAAGGCGTAACGAGGGAATTTTCTTTGGTTTGCTCTTTTACGTTTTGACTCATAAATAAATACTATCCGAGACATGCAACCCTTATCGGGATATTTATCGAGTGAATGAATTTGGATTCAATCATTACTAATTATCAACCTATGGATGGGATCATATCAATTTGAAGGTAGTAAATATGACCGAGGTGATGGAAATGTAATTCTATAATTCATTTAAGTGCCTTTCGACAAAACTTGAACATTAACATAATCACAATTTGAAATTTTTACGAAATTTCTCATCAAACATATATATGATGGTGTCGAAATTGATTTTTGAATACATTTATTTGGATTTGCGTGTTTACACATTTCATAGGTGCAACGATCCATCTTATCATCATGACGTCTATTAATTTCGACACCAACATTTACGAGATGTGATGTAAAATATCGTAAAAATTTCAAACTTTGATTATGATCATGTTCAAGTTTTGTAATAATGCTCTGATGATGGCGTTAGCCGAAAGGTACTTAAGTAAAGTAGGTATTAAATTATATCCATGACACCTTGGTTCTGATTACTACTTTCAATACATAATGGTGTTCAACTAGAACTCTATAAATATCAATTTAGTTCGCTTGAACGAATCCCTTCTGTAATAAGGGTTTAAAACAGTTTGGATTTTTATTAATGCTTAATGTTTTTCTTCTTCTGATAGGCTACTTCAGAATGGGCAAGGGTAAACATAATTCAAGCGTTAAAAGACCAAATTCAGCGTGAGAAGCAGAGAGCACCATGGGAATTACAAGAAGGTAAGACACTTAATGTTACTGCATTCGTGACTATTCACGAAAAACTGCATAGAAGTTGGTCGGTAGTGGCCTGGTGTGCTTTGTGACTTATCGATTCATCTGCCATTTAAATCTATGGAAAATGATCGATAAACAGGGTGTTTGCAACGAATGCCTTAATAATCGAATCTTTACCATCGTTCCAAATAATGGAATATCAATTATCGATCATGGATGCCTCGCCACTGGTCGGTTGGTAAACACATTTATTCGAAGATGTCTTTACAAAACAGTCATTGACACCTTCGAAAAGAGAGATCGATACAAAGAGATGATGATCATAAGTCAAACATGGGGAAGAAAAGGACAAATAAATAGGAAGAAGGGAAAAAAGGCATTTGTAAAAAATAAAAAAGACACGAAAATAATAAATTAAAGTCTCTTAAAAAGGGAGGGATTCGGTGACAAATTTTGAGAGCACCTATCTGATTGAGATCAGAAGGATGGAAGGAAAATTGTGGATGTAAATTGGTTGGTTAATGGTAACTTAGACAGGGATCTATACTATAAGCTCCGAGACCTCCTAAATTTGCATGTCTGGTAATGATTAGTTCCAGCGTTCTACCGGGCCGATTTTCATGATTTTTGCGGCCATCGACGGACAATTTTGTCTAAATGAGCCCGCTTTATTTAGATTTTAAAAATACGACCCAGGGTTTTTTTTATATTGCGTGGTAAAGTTTGCGAATTCTAAAATTTAAACAATGTAATTCTTTATTTTTTTTCAAAGTTCGTTTGAGCGTTCTACTGGGCCGATTTCCATGATTATCGACAGGTGACAGTCCCTAGATGAGCCCGCTCTAATCAGATTTTGGAAATAGAACCCAGGTTTTTTTTTACATAGAAGTGGACCAGAGAGCTCAGAAGGGGGACAAAGTTTGAAATTCCCGCCAATGAAAAATAGCAGGAGTTTCAAATTTACCGGAAAAATGAACTAAGTGGAAAATGTTGAATCATGGGCTGTTAGGAGGGTAAGTGAATTGACGGTATGCTCCTTTGCTACAGACTATCAAAAAGCAACGAAACGCTTCGTTCCGTTTCGTCTCAGTCTTGGCGTAAAGTTTTTAAATAAATGCCGATTTTTTTCATTCGATTCTTATTGGTCCAAGCGCTCCCGGCAAGAGGAAGATTGGACGTTTTTATGCTAAAAGGAACTGTTATACGCAATCCTAATGCACATAGTTCCTTTTAGTATAAATGTGTCCGATTGGACAAATGAGAGTCGGGTATGAAAATATTTTAATTTATTTTTGTCGACGTGGGCCTAAGAGAGCGCGAAGCGACCTCTCGGGGTTGGGGCGCGTAGCGACCAGGGGGCGGATCCCCCTATAGTTTAAGCATGATAAACTAGAGAGGAATACTAGTGCCTTGTGGTACCTAAATAGGTAATAAAAATGACACACATATGGCAATAACTTTCGAAGATTGAACACCGTTCATCAAACTGCATGGTTGATCACCGTGAAAGTAAGCAGGCTAATTGTAATTGAACGTAATAAATCATTTTTTTACCTGGAGAAAAATCTAGTCAAATTACATTACGGATGTTTAGGCATAGAAAATTCAGTCAAATTATATTATGGATGTTTAGGCATAGGATAATGAGTTTTGAATGTCAGTGAAGAATGGTGTACAGTTCGGTTTCTTTTAAAAAGTGGATATACGATAAAAAATAGAGCGATACTCAACTTTTTAAGCTTTGCCATCATACATTCCGATATTTAAAACCTCTCAAATTTCCCAAAATATTTTTTCCTTCTTTTCTTTTCTTTTCTTTTCTATGGAAGTTATAGAAATTTTTAACTGAGGTTACATGTGTCACCTTACGGCTTCCAAAAAGCTGTAAAAAACTCTTAGATTTCGTCGACAGGAATATTTTCGTTCTCCAAATTGAGGATGTCCCCCCCCCCTCATCTAGCAGTTAAATAACTAGAACTTGCATACTGCCGTGCTAAGGAACAACGCCGTATGAACATTCGAGAGTTGCCAAATTTCCTTCGATAAAATGTCTATTTTTAAGGAAAGTTATGTATATCATTCCTTGAAATTTTCAGGAACTTTAGGTGAAATTGTGAACAAAAGTATCTGAAAAATTGGACGAAAAATACTCATAAGTTTACCAGGGAATGCGTGTTTTATCGAAGGGAATTTGGCAACGCCTGAAGGTTCATACGGCGTTCTTCCTTAACACAGCAGCTTATGAATACTCCATAAATATCGACGGTGGATAACTTCAGACCACATATCCGAGTTTGCTTTGCGACGTTGCAGACTTCCTTTTATACTTTTTCTTTACAGTGGGAAACTACTTGACGTCATTTCTTGAAAACTTCAGCGATACTTACTTCCTGTGCGAGGGAAACTCTCTAGAAACTTCAAGGAGTGATATTGACTTTTTCTCCTTCGAAAAAATACTATGGGAGCGGAAATTCTTAATTCGAGATACGTCATCTGGTACTTCTGCCGTCAATATTCTAACTATAATGATTTTTTAATGAATTTGAATACCAGAGTCTGGTTAAATCGGTCAATCTCAAGATAAAACAAATACACACCCAAATGAGCTCATAATCAGGCCCGCCACATCTCATCTCGGGCCCGCTGGTACCAGTTTTAAGGTCCAAGCCCCAAGCACGGAGGGGGGGAAGGTCCGAGGGGCATCCCTCGAGAAACTTTAGAATTTATACGACTAATCAGACGCATTTTGAAGCTTCTATAAATAATTTTTCCATCAATTTCTGCGGAATAATTATGTTTTTTTTTTTTTTTTTTTTTTTTTTTGGGGGGGGGGGGTGTTTTTTTTTTTTTTTTTGTTTTTTTTTTTCTACTTTCCGCACAAAATACTTGCAAATTGTTGCATTCAAAACATCTGGAACATTTTTATTTTATTTTATTTTTTTTTTGGGGGGGGGCATATGATACTATTTTCAGTTTTAAGAGGGGCATGCCCCCCTGGACTCCCCCTTCGTTTGTCTATGGCAATTGGCAAGGGAGTTGAGCCATGAGCCATTGAAGTCGAGGATGCCCAGACTGGAGACTCATAGCATCTGACGACGGAAGAAAATGAAACGCAGTTACTAAAAATATCCCTCTGTACTGAAAATCATGAAAATAGATAGGAATTTTCCAGGAAGTATACTTTTTTGAAAATTTAAGAAGAATTCTACAGTGCCCCAGCATAATCATTTTGAATAGTTCATATTATTTTGTTTTCATTTCTGAAAAAAAAAAAAATTTCTAAATACAATTTTTACAACTTTTTTACAATTTACAACTAAATTTCTAAATACAATTCTAGCTGAAGCGCACTTAAGCGCATTCATGACTGCAAAAATGTTAACGGAAATCGAAAAGGCCAGCGTGCATGAAGGCTATTTCAATTACAATCTTCCGTCGCATCTCTAAGGCGCAATGATACAACTATTTGAACACTCCGGAATGTGTGAGGTATCACGCCGCATTTGAAGGCGTTTTCAAATCAGCCAAGTTCCGATACCCGGATTATCGTTTTGCATAGTTCATATTCTTTTGTTATATTCCGTGCCACTTGTTTATTTTCAATTAGTTGTATCATTACGCCGTAAGAATGTGACGGAAGATTTAAATGGAGATAGCCACCATGCACGCTGGGCTTGTCGATTTCCTCTGAAATTTTTGCAGTGGTGAATGCATGGCTGAAGTGCGCTTCAGCTAGAATTGTATTTACAAATGGGTGGTTTTTCTAGGAGGATTAAAAATAAACAAGTGGCACGGAATATAACAAAAGAATATGAACTTTGCAAAACGATAATCCGGGTATCGGAACTTGGCTGATTTGAAAATGCCTTCAAATGCGACGTGATACCTCACCTACCCCGGAGAGTTCAAATAGTTGTATCATTGCGCCTTAGAAATGCGACGGAAGATTACAATTGAAATAGCCTCCATGCACGCTGGGCGTGTCGATTTCCTCTGAAATTTTTGCAGTGGTGAATGCATAACTTAAGTGCGCTTCAGCTAGAATTGTATTTAGCAAATGGGCGTTTTTAGGAGGATTATAATTAAACAAGTGGTTAGAAATGGAAACAAAATAATATGAACTATGCAAAACGATTATTCCGATATCGGAACTTGGCTGATTTGAAAACGCCTTCAAATGCGGCGTGATACCTCACGCATTCCGGAGAGTTCAAATAATTGTATTATTGCGCCTTAGAAATGTGACAGAGGATTTAAATGGAAATAGCCTTCATGCAGGATCGCCAAATCCCATCTCGGGCCCTGGTATCAATTTTAAGGTCCAGGCCACAAGCACGGAGGGGGGGGGGTCCGAGGGGCATCCCCCGAGAAATTTTAGAATTTATACGACTAATAGGACGCATTTTGAAGCTTCCATAAAGAACTTTTTTATCAATTTCTGTAGAATATTAAATATGTGTTTTTTTCTACTTTCAGCACAAAATACTTGCGAATTGTTGCATTCAAAACATCTAGATTTTGGCGCGTATACGTAGTATACCGCCTTTGCGATCGTTTCGAACCCTGCTCGATACAATAACCGAGTCCCTTAGTTCCTTACCGAAAAGTGACTACCGCGAACTTCTGAGATTTTCCAAAGCGTGTAAAAAGTTTATTTATCCGTCAATAATTATGATTTAAAGTTGTTTCTCATTCTGGGGCTCTCTAGTTTACGTGCAGTGAATACCAAGAGTCTATGTTACTTGGTTTTTTTAAAAAAAGCCTAAGAGTACGACGCGCTGATTTAAAATATGCATATATAAGCGGAAGCAAGCGAACTGATTCGAGGATGGCTAACCAGTTCGGCACTCCTTGAATGAGAATTCCACTCACTCCGTTTTGTTCAAAACGTTGCTTTGACAGATCTACACACCACTGTTATCCTTTTCAAAAGTTGGTACCCCTTGCTCTGATAGCCGGGGCCAGCAGGATAGTGGTAAGTGCAATCTGTGATGAGCCTCGAGACTCATTAGACCATTTGCTAAACGTGGCTCATACAGGAGTCCACTCAGCCCTCTCTTCCCCACGCTCCTGATCACTGCGTCGGCGTCACGAAGAACAATGGGCCTTGGGCCGCCTTGGGTCCCAACGCGGCCGATACCCGTACCCCAATTACTCACGCTTCATTAACCATTTCATCGTCATGTTAGGATTCATCCAATTTTCAAAAAAAATTGTTTCGCGTGTATTTAGCAATTTTTTCCTTACTCTCCGTTAAAACACAAATAAAAAGAGACCTCATTCATAAAAATCGGCCGAATAGAAGAGAAGTTACAGTAATCGAAATCCGAAGAAATCAAAAAAAACCTCGACTTCTCGATACAAAAAATAAAATGAAGGGGAAAAAAAGAAATGTATAAATTACTATTAAATATAATTGACCTCAGAATTTGACAAGCAATTCATTTATATACCTAACGCTGAAAAAACTGGGAGAAATTACAAAAAATTCGCCTCTTGCAAGGGACTTCTTTGTAAGAATTTTGACCTGAAGACAACGGTCGAATAACAGCAGTACTCCATACAATACACGGTGTGCCTGAACGAGTTAAACATTTTTCATACGTCCAAATCGAAAAATCTTTATATTTTTAACTACAAAGTCTCTTGAATCGTTTAAGCAAAAAAAAAAAAAAACAAGCAGTGAACTCCAACACAATGTGTTGATAAGGCGCGTCATTAACTCGCACATATCAACCCCTTTAGTTTTCATTTACAGAGATTTCAAAATAGGCAA